TGTGTGTGTGTGTATGTGTGAGTGTGTGTGTGTGTCTGTGTGTGTGTGTGTATGTGTGAGTGAGTTTCTGTGTGTGTGTGTGTGTGTGTGTGTGTGTGAGTGAGTGTCTGTGTGTGAGTTTCTGTGTGTGTGTGTGTGTGTGTGTTTGCACCTCCTCCAGACTGAACAGAACTCCTCCGATTGGAGCTCCGAACGCAACAGACACTCCTGCGGCCGCAGCTGCCGACAAAACCTGAAACAAACGAATGCAGGAGAGGATTTCAGCATTTTCCTTTGACTTCTGTCTTACATCAGTCACGTCTCCTCCAGCATGCAGATGTGCGCACCTCTCTGCGTTTGCCCTCGTTCTTGCTGTATTTGGAGAAGAGGCTGCAGAACAGGTTTCCGCAGCAGCAGGCGACGTGCACGAGAGGCCCTTCCTTCCCCAGACTGAGGCCAGACGACACGGCCAGCACCAGCGTCACCGTCTTTATGAGCAGCGTCCACTTGCCCAGATACCCGCGGATGATGAAGCCGCTCAGGATCGTCTTTATCTGGAACGACACACACACACTCACTTATTTAACAGCTCCACTGCAGAAAGTTCTCTTAGCTTTGCATCTGCACCTCTGGTATTCCTGATCCGCAGGCGTACGGAGCGAACACTCGCACCAGAGACACGGCCAGGAAGGAGAAGAAGAGCGCCCACAGCACGTACAGGAAGTAGTTCAGCAAGTACACGCCTGCGCCCTGATGACAGAATCACACAGACGTCAGAGTGTGAAGAGGGCCACTAACTAGGGCTGCACGATATGAGGGGAAATAAAAAAATAATAAAAAATTCCAGGTTTGCTGTGCTGGTTTGTAAGGTTGCACAATTTTTTGTGATTATATGTATAATTATTATTATTATTACTAAATAAAAAATATTAAACAAAATAAGAAATAGATTAGATTTTAAAGAAAGAGATTTAATTATTTAGATTGATTTTATTTTTCTGATAAAACTTATTGCGATTTTAAAAATTCCAGCTTTTTGTGATTATAGATCAATATGACTATGATACTAATTACTATTATTATTATTTTATGAGTAGTAGTATAAAATAAAAATATAAAAAAATAAGAAATATTACAGTTGTAATATTTCACTGTAAAATAGAAAATCTAGTGTTTTTAAATGCATTTTTCTGATAAAAATTGTGACTGCAATTTAAAATGCTATTTAAAAAAATATATCAATTGATTATATATCAATGTGACAATAATAGTGATTATATAATAAGAATGATCATTATATATCAATGATTATAATAAAAATAATAATCGTAATAATTATTATTATTATTATTACAACTGCTACTACTTCTAAATAAAAATATGAAAGAAAATAAGAAATATTAAAATTGTAATTTCACTATAAAATAAAAAATATAGTATTGAAGAAAAATAATATTACAAAATAATAATAATAATAATTTTATACTACAGTGCAACTTTATTTTGGTGGAAATATATTTATTTATTCTATTAAATTATTTAAATTGCAGCTTTTGTGATTTGATAATTGCACTAAGCCATACTGCATTTTTGGTTTTATTCCGTGCAGCCCTAAGACAAACCCAAAAAAGCACTGCATAAAAATGAGTTTTAACTTGATAATCATTCTGCTGTACCTCCGTGTATCCCGTCATCAGTTCGGCCCATTTCTGCCACTGAGGACATTTGTCTCTGTCAGCGAAGGTGGTCTCATTGGACGTCCAGCAGCACTGCTCATGACTGTACCAGAGCGCAGACAGACACACGCCTTCCTTCAAATCTGTCATCCAATCAACAGCCAGATCGATCACTCCGGCCAGCGTGCCTGTGTGAGACCAGAGAGACGTTACATGCTGAAAGAGTTTGGGTCAGTGGTGTGATGAGTGGGCGTGTCTCTGGTCAATGAGGTCATGAGTGGGAGTGTCTCTGGTCAGTGAGGGCATGAGTGGGCATGTCTCTGTGTCAGTGAGGTCATGAGTGGGCGTGTCTCTGGTCAGTGATGTGATGAGTGGGCATGTTTCTGGTTAGTGGTGTCATGAGTGGGTGTGTCTCTGTCAGTAAGGTCATGATGAGTGGGTGAGTCTGGTCAGTGATTTGATGAGTGGGTGTGTCTCTGGTCAGTAAGGTCATGAGTGGGCGTGTCTCTGGTCAGTGAGGTCATGAGTGGGCGTGTCTCTGGTCAGTGGTGTCATGAGTGGGCGCGTCTCTGGTCAGTGATGTGATGAGTGGGCGTGTCTCTGGTCAGTGATTTGATGAGTGGGTGTGTCTCTGGTCAGTGAGGTAATGAGTGGACGTGTCTCTGATCAGTGATGTGATGAGTGGGCATGTCTCTGTGTCAGTGAGGTAATGAGTGGGTGTGTCTAGTCAGTGATTTGAGGAGTGGGCGTGTCTCTGGTCAGTGATGTGATGAGTGGGCGTGTCTCTGTGTCAGTGATGTGATGAGTGGGTGTTTCTCTGTGTCAGTGAGGTCATGAGTGGGTGTGTCTCTGGTCAGTGATGTGATGAGTGGGCGTGTCTGTGTCAGTGAGGTCATGAGTGGGTGTTTCTCTTTGTCAGTGATTTTATGAGTGGGCGTGTCTCTGGTCAGTGATGTGATGAGTGGGCGTGTCTCTGGTCAGTGATGTGATGAGTGGGCGTGTCTCTGGTCAGTGATGTGATGAGTGGGCGTGTCTCTGGTCAGTGATGTGATGAGTGGGCGTGTCTCTGGTCAGTGATGTGATGAGTGGGCGTGTCTCTGGTCAGTGATGTGATGAGTGGGCGTGTCTCTGGTCAGTGATGTGATGAGTGGGCGTGTCTCTGGTCAGTGATGTGATGAGTGGGCGTGTCTCTGGTCAGTGATGTGATGAGTGGGCGTGTCTCTGGTCAGTGATGTGATGAGTGGGCGTGTCTCTGGTCAGTGATGTGATGAGTGGGCATGTCTCTGTGTCAGTGATGTGATGAGTGAACGTGTCTCTGGTCAGTGAGGTCATGAGTGGGCGTGTCTGTGTCAGTGATGTGATGAGTGGACGTGTCTCTGTGTCAGTGATGTGATGAGTGGACGTGTCTCTGGTCAGTGATGTGATGAGTGGACGTGTCTCTGGTCAGTGATGTGATGAGTGGACGTGTCTCTGGTCAGTGATGTGATGAGTGGACGTGTCTCTGGTCAGTGATGTGATGAGTGGACGTGTCTCTGGTCAGTGATGTGATGAGTGGACGTGTCTCTGGTCAGTGATGTGATGAGTGGACGTGTCTCTGGTCAGTGATGTGATGAGTGGACGTGTCTCTGGTCAGTGATGTGATGAGTGGACGTGTCTCTGGTCAGTGATGTGATGAGTGGACGTGTCTCTGGTCAGTGATGTGATGAGTGGACGTGTCTCTGGTCAGTGATGTGATGAGTGGACGTGTCTCTGGTCAGTGATGTGATGAGTGGACGTGTCTCTGGTCAGTGATGTGATGAGTGGACGTGTCTCTGGTCAGTGATGTGATGAGTGGACGTGTCTCTGGTCAGTGATGTGATGAGTGGACGTGTCTCTGGTCAGTGATGTGATGAGTGGACGTGTCTCTGGTCAGTGATGTGATGAGTGGACGTGTCTCTGGTCAGTGATGTGATGAGTGGACGTGTCTCTGGTCAGTGATGTGATGAGTGGACGTGTCTCTGGTCAGTGATGTGATGAGTGGACGTGTCTCTGGTCAGTGATGTGATGAGTGGACGTGTCTCTGGTCAGTGATGTGATGAGTGGACGTGTCTCTGGTCAGTGATGTGATGAGTGGACGTGTCTCTGGTCAGTGATGTGATGAGTGGACGTGTCTCTGGTCAGTGATGTGATGAGTGGACGTGTCTCTGGTCAGTGATGTGATGAGTGGACGTGTCTCTGGTCAGTGATGTGATGAGTGGACGTGTCTCTGGTCAGTGATGTGATGAGTGGACGTGTCTCTGGTCAGTGATGTGATGAGTGGACGTGTCTCTGGTCAGTGATGTGATGAGTGGACGTGTCTCTGGTCAGTGATGTGATGAGTGGACGTGTCTCTGGTCAGTGATGTGATGAGTGGACGTGTCTCTGGTCAGTGATGTGATGAGTGGACGTGTCTCTGGTCAGTGATGTGATGAGTGGACGTGTCTCTGGTCAGTGATGTGATGAGTGGACGTGTCTCTGGTCAGTGATGTGATGAGTGGACGTGTCTCTGGTCAGTGATGTGATGAGTGGACGTGTCTCTGGTCAGTGATGTGATGAGTGGACGTGTCTCTGGTCAGTGATGTGATGAGTGGACGTGTCTCTGGTCAGTGATGTGATGAGTGGACGTGTCTCTGGTCAGTGATGTGATGAGTGGACGTGTCTCTGGTCAGTGATGTGATGAGTGGACGTGTCTCTGGTCAGTGATGTGATGAGTGGACGTGTCTCTGGTCAGTGATGTGATGAGTGGACGTGTCTCTGGTCAGTGATGTGATGAGTGGACGTGTCTCTGGTCAGTGATGTGATGAGTGGACGTGTCTCTGGTCAGTGATGTGATGAGTGGACGTGTCTCTGGTCAGTGATGTGATGAGTGGACGTGTCTCTGGTCAGTGATGTGATGAGTGGACGTGTCTCTGGTCAGTGATGTGATGAGTGGACGTGTCTCTGGTCAGTGATGTGATGAGTGGACGTGTCTCTGGTCAGTGATGTGATGAGTGGACGTGTCTCTGTGTCAGTGATGTGATGAGTGAGCGTGTCTCTGGTCAGTGATGTGAAGAGTGGGCGTGTCTCTGTCAGTGATGTGATGAGTGGGCGTGTCTCTGTGTCAGTGATGTGATGAGTGGGCATGTCTCTGTGTCAGTGATGTGATGAGTGGGCATGTCTCTGTGTCAGTGATGTGATGAGTGGGCATGTCTCTGTGTCAGTGATGTGATGAGTAGACGTGTCTCTGGTCAGTGAGGTGATGAGTGGGCGTGTCTCTGTGTCAGTGATGTGATGAGTGGACGTGTCTCTGTGTCAGTGATGTGATGAGTGAGCGTGTCTCTGTGTCAGTGATGTGATGAGTGGGCATGTCTCTGGTCAGTGATGTGATGAGTGGACGTGTCTCTGGTCAGTGTGGATAATGAATGGGCGTGTCTCTGTGTCATTAGGTGTGTTCGACTTCATGCGTCGCTGCGCAGACCGATCGGCGAGAGTTGCCGCTTGCAGTCGGGGGTGGAAACGTCAAGCCAGACACTTTCTGCTCCCGGTAGTGACGCTCGTGCGGTGTTTGCATATTCTATCACAGATGAAGTGAATTAAATGCAATATTTGTCAAATACACAGACGTTTCAGAAACGTTTTCATGAAACAATAGAAACACTTTTCATATACTGCTTAATACAGCGCCATCTGTTCAAGAATAAAGTTTAACATATACTATTTAAATACCAATAAAGTGGGTCTACATACACTTTTATCAGTGTTTTTTGATAAACGTGACTCAATATAACATTGCGACTACAGAAAAAGAGCTTTTACTGTTATAAAAACACAGATTTATGAGCATTAGTGGAACTGAAAGTGTCAGAATAAACCCGAAACACACGTCATCGTTATCATGTGGTGAATTCGGCCAATCGTGAAACAGCTGTGTCGTCATCAGCGCTCTGGAGAAGCCGCGCCGGCTGAGTCTGCTCTCGAAACGTTCTCGCCGGTACTTTGATGCTATACGTCACAGTGACGTCGGCGCCGGGATTTTCTATCCGGGATGCACTGCTTCAAGTCAGCCGCCGATAGGTCTGCGCAGCGCCGCATGAAGTCGAACACACCTAGTGATGTGATGAGTGGGCGTGTCTCTGGTCAGTGATGTCATGAGTGGGCGTGTCTCAGCACCTGACAGCAGACCAATCAGCAGCATCACCAGCCATCCTGACCAGGCGTCCAGCAAACTCTTAATGAACTCCCAGATGGACTCTTTACTCTTACTGGTGATCTGCAAATACACACAAAATAAACCAGTGTACTAATAATTAAAATGCACCATATCAGTGTCAGGCGGTCCGGTTCACCTTCCGGTGTCTGTCCGTGTCTCTGGATTTCTCTCTCAGCCAGTCGATGGTGTGAAAGTCCTCGTAAGTGCCAACGTCTGGGAACGGCTCGTCCAAGAAGTCCATCAGGTTCCCAGCGTCGTTCATCTCCTCTGTAGGAGTGGCACTGCTGATGCCTGAGGAGAATAAACGGATTGTCATTAAATACGTTGCCAAACATGCATTCTCTCATCCAGCTTCATGAGGTGCATCCTGGGATGCTTTTGAACACTATTAAAGGAGGAACATGTATGCTAAAACTTTGATGATGCTTTGGCTTCAACGTCCATTAAAAAAAATACATCTAAATAAAAACTGAAAATATGAGAAAACATTCATATACAGTAGGAATACTTTTTTTTTTTAATTATTTAAACCTAATCTCAAGCTTGAAGCAGAAGTATTCATTAAATATTTTTTAAGCTGTAAAAATAAATAAATAAATAAATAAATAAAAATAACACATAACTGCCCGAGTGCAACACAGTGATTATTACAGTATACAGTATTGTAATATCGTCACCTTTTCCATCACTATGCACTTTAATATCCATTAAAAAATACATTTAAAATAAAAATTCAAAATATAATCATACACAATAAAAACAACTTCTTTTTAATATTTTTTCAATTTATTCATTTTTACATGTTTAACTAATTTCAAGCATGTAAGCAAAAGCGTTAATTTAAGCTGTAAAAATAATAACATGTCTGTCAGTGTGCAACACAATGAATATCAGAGTATATTGCAATATCATGCAGCTGCTGAAATCCATATTCTTATCAAATACTGTAGTATTGCAAGATTTACTGTCACACGCTGACAGTCACACATTTTCTATACAGCTTAAAATCATTTAAAATAAACACTTCAACTTACATGCTTGAAATTACTTTTAAACAAAATGTAAATCTATCTATATACAGTATACTGTATATGTATGTAATAAATATATTATAAAATAAATATACTGAACGATACAATGTTACATGTTCAAAAACATAGTAGTACCATAGTCCGTTTCAGCATTTTTTAATTGTAATATATAATGTATTAGGTGTTTAGCTGTATTTATTCATCACAATAATATAAGAAAAACACACAATAGAAACGGACGCACGCAGAGGCCTTACAGAAGCATCACTCAGATCAGATTTCACACCTGTACTTCTGTCTGTCTGTGCTGCACAAACATGATAAAACACACATGTGGAAATAAACCGAAAGACATTAAGGAATGAACCCATAATAACATATAGAGCAGGTGCACGATGATTGTGATCAAACGAACACACTCGTGTGTGCTGTCACCCTCTTTAAAATCATTTAAAATAAACACTTCAACTTACATGCTTGAAATTACTTTTAAACAAAATGTAAATCTATCTATATACAGTATACTGTATATGTATGTAATAAATATATTATAAAATAAATATACTGAACGATACAATGTTACATGTTCAAAAACATAGTAGTACCATAGTCCGTTTCAGCATTTTTTAATTGTAATATATAATGTATTAGGTGTTTAGCTGTATTTATTCATCACAATAATATAAGAAAAACACACAATAGAAACGGACGCACGCAGAGGCCTTACAGAAGCATCACTCAGATCAGATTTCACACCTGTACTTCTGTCTGTCTGTGCTGCACAAACATGATAAAACACACATGTGGAAATAAACCGAAACACATTCAAGACATTAAGGAATGAACCCATGATAACATATAGAGCAGGTGCACGATGATTGTGATCAAACGAACACACTCGTGTGTGCTGAATCTCACCCTCTGCCTCCGCCATAACGCTGTTTGTGTAATAAATTAAAGATGCAGTGATGATTTGTAGTGTTTATCCATCATAACATCAGATTAAACCGATGCGGCAGGACGTGCAGTGATGACGTCACGGTGCGTGAGTGCGTGCGTGAACGTCAGCGCGGCGCGACGTCTGCGCAGAGAGCGCAAACAGGCGCTTGATGGGAATATAACGACAGACAAATGACATTTCATTGTTTGATCAAAATGATTGCTAGAGATAATTTAGCAGTGGCTGATATTGGTAGGAACATGTCATAGCGTCTCTACTAAACTCTACAGCCTTGAAAATCATAACAAGTGATGTCTGACTTTGGAAACTATAGTTTAAAGAGATCATGCAACAGATTCATGAGTTCATCCAAATCTCACAATTTGTAGTAAAACTGGTTACACAAAAAACACTACACTTTTACTATAGTAAAACTATGGTTTATTTTCTTAAGGGATTTGTATTTATACTTTCTTTCTTTCTTTCTTTCTTTCTTATTTGTTTTATTCAAGTGTTTGAAATTTGCTTTAATTTCTTTATTTAAAACATGCATATATATGACAATGTTGCATGTGTGTTAAACTAGATTTTCATTCAGTGGGGTTCAAAGGTCTGATACAATAGTGAAAATGCTTTTCTGCATTGAATTGATCATTTTTCAATTTTAATGCTTTTTTTTCATGTAACTGTTAGTCTATTACAAATCTGTTTACATTTGATATTGACTTAGAAACAGTGGCGAATCATTTTTCTACATTTTACATCATAACGTTTTATTTCCTGGTTTAAATAGCTTTTCAATGTGTTCCTCTCAGAAAGATCAATATTATGAACTGTGCTGCTGAAAAGCGAGAGCTGAGATTGTTTTAAGTCCAGATTTAACAGAGACAAACAGATCTGGAATTTTCCCCTTCAAACACTTTTCCCCAACAATACAAGCAGGACCGTGAATTAGGAAAGCGAGCGTGTGCCGTGAATCGAACGCTCTCTGAACGAGTATGGCGCGTATTTCGTGCCAAAATCGGAGGACGCGCCATAAACGAGTGTGTGTGTTTGCGAGCGTTCGGCTTGAGTGAATGCAGCTGTTGTTTGCGTCTCTGTGCCTAGAGAGATCAGAGCTTCTGCCCACCCGTCCAAAGATGACGCGCAGACACTAATGCTGCTGTCAGCAGCTGTACTGACTAGTAGAGCGAGAGGAGGAGGAGGAGGAGAGCTGTGGTCATGGACTCTGGATTATGGACTCTGGAGCTGCTAGGTGTGTTTTTCTCGCTGACCGCCTGCTTGTGTTCGCTGGTCACCCTCATGATGCCGCGGTGGTATATGTATGTAATAAATATATTATAAAATAAATATACTGAACGATACAATGTTACATGTTCAAAAACATAGTAGTACCATAGTCCGTTTCAGCATTTTTTAATTGTAATATATAATGTATTAGGTGTTTAGCTGTATTTATTCATCACAATAATATAAGAAAAACACACAATAGAAACGGACGCACGCAGAGGCCTTACAGAAGCATCACTCAGATCAGATTTCACACCTGTACTTCTGTCTGTCTGTGCTGCACAAACATGATAAAACACACATGTGGAAATAAACCGAAAGACATTAAGGAATGAACCCATAATAACATATAGAGCAGGTGCACGATGATTGTGATCAAACGAACACACTCGTGTGTGCTGAATCTCACCCTCTGCCTCCGCCATAACGCTGTTTGTGTAATAAATTAAAGATGCAGTGATGATTTGTAGTGTTTATCCATCATAACATCAGATTAAACCGATGCGGCAGGACGTGCAGTGATGACGTCACGGTGCGTGAGTGCGTGCGTGAACGTCAGCGCGGCGCGACGTCTGCGCAGAGAGCGCAAACAGGCGCTTGATGGGAACATAACGACAGACAAATGACAATTAATTGTTTGATCAAAATGATTGCTAGAGATAATTTAGCAGTGGCTGATATTGGTAGGAACATGTCATAGCGTCTCTACTAAACTCTACAGCCTTGAAAATCATAACAAGTGATGTCTGGCTTTGGAAACTATAGTTTAAAGAGATCATGCAACAGATTCATGAGTTCATCCAAATCTCACAATTTGTAGTAAAACTGTGGTTATACAAAAAAACACTACACTTTTACTATAGTAAAAACATGGTTTATTTTCTTAAGGGATTTGTATTTATTACTTTCTTTCTTATTTGTTTTTTTTTTTTTTTACTTTACTGCATTAATAGTTTTATGTTTTCTGTTTACTAAAAGAAGAAATCAGAAAAAAAAGATTCGCGAATCCGCTCCGAAGTCCCGATCTGAATCAAATGATTCATGATTCGCGATCCGATTGGAGTGAATCATTTTGCGACGCAATGGTTTTCTTCATTTTAGATCATAAAGTTTATATGACGCGCAGACACTAATGCTGCTGTCAGCAGCTGTACTGACTAGTAGAGCGAGAGGAGGAGGAGGAGGAGAGCTGTGGTCATGGACTCTGGATTATGGACTCTGGAGCTGCTAGGTGTGTTTTTCTCGCTGACCGCCTGCTTGTGTTCGCTGGTCACCCTCATGATGCCGCGGTGGCTCACGCTCTCCACCGAGCTCCTGCCCACCGAGAGCTTCCAGCTGGGACTGTGGGAAACCTGCGTGGTTCAGGATCTCGGGGTGACCGAGTGCCGGCCGTACGACAGTCTGCTGGGTCTCCCGTCGGACATCCGGCTGGCCCGAATCCTGATGTGCGCCACGCTGGGGACGGGTTTAATCGGTCTGTTATTCGCCATCCCCGGCATCTACCTGGTGAACAGCTGCAGACGCACGGAGAGCTTTGAAGCCAAAAGGACCTTGAAGATGCTCGGCGGGATCTTCAGCGTCGTCACGGGCGTCCTCGGTCTCGTGCCCGTCTCGTATGTGGCGCATCTGACGGTCCTGCGGTTCTTCGACGAGAGCGTGCCAAGCGTGGTTCCTCGCTGGGAGTTCGGAGATGCGCTTTTCTTCGGCTGGACGGCGGGGGGGTTGCATTTGGCGGCTGGTTTCTTGTTGGTCATTTCGTGCTTGTTTTTGCAAGACGAAACATTTTCGCTTCACCAATCTATAGCGCTAAACAGAGCTCGTCCAGAACAATCTCCACGCAGGAGGACAGAATATGTGTGAGATTATTGATAAACACAGTTTTGCTTCTACTAATGTTTTGCGTTTTGCACCGAAATGATCAGATATATTCAAAGACTGTAAATATAATGCTGCTGTTTAGACTTCATTTTGATTACAAATCATTTTTGTGAATCATTTTATAAGCTCAAACCCAAATCTGCACGTGAATGTGATTCTAATGAAAACACACACTTCAGTTTACTAATTGTGAAAATTATGCAAACTTTCTGAGAAAGTGCAACTTTTATGACTACGAGGTCATTTATGAGAGACAATTTTATGCTAATTATCCAAATGTTACTGGAAAACCAGATGCAAGTGCGTTTTTATATTTAAACAGAGAGTGATTGAATGAGAGAAAGATGTTATTATTTTACCTTGCGTTCTCTGAAATGTCCAAAAGTTGTACCAAAGTTGATGATCAGTCAATAAATCAGCTGAATGTTAATCTCTCTCATGTGATGTGTGAAGAGATGCAGGTGGTTTTTCAGAATTTTTTTTTTTTTTAGATTTTGGTGCTCGTGAAATGTCAACAAGTTTCAGTTTTCACAAAAATATGTGACCCTGGACCACATAACCAGTCTTAAGTGTCAATTTTTCAAAATTGAGATTTATATATCATCTGAAAGCTGAATAAATAATCTTTCCATTGATGTATGGTTTGTTAGGATCGGGCAATATTTGGCTGAGATACAACTATTTGAAAATCTGGAATCTGAGGGTGCAAAAAAAATCTAAATATTGAGAAAATCGCCTTTAAAGTTGTCCAAATGAAGTTCTTAGCAATGCATATTACTAATCAAAAATTAAGTTTTGATATATTTACGGTAGGAAATTTACAAAATATCTTCATGGAACATGATCTTTTTTATATATTTACGGTAGGAAATTTACAAAATATCTTCATGGAACATGATCTTTACTTAATATCCTAATGATTTTTGGCGTAAAAGAAAAATCTATAATTTTGACCCATACAATTTTTTTTTGGCTATTGCTACAAATATACCCCAGCGACTTAAGACTGCTTTTGTGCTCCAGGGTCACATATGTTTTCATATTTATTCAGGTTTGTGCAATTAGCTTTTATTTTCTATAGTTAAAAACATTAAATTGAAAACAATATTTTAAATGCTTAATAAACTAGTTTTAGTGGGTTTCAAAGGTCTGAGAAAATGCTTTTTTTGCATTGCACTTAGCATTTTTCTGACACACATTTGTTTACATTTGATTAGCGGCTTTGAAACAGTGGAAAATCTCTCATTATTATTCATTTTACATAATTTTACATCAAAATGTCATGTTACATCATTTTTTTTTTAATCTTAAAATTTTATTTCCAAGTGTAAATTTTCAATGTGTTCCTCTCAGACTTTTAAACTCCCTTGCATATTCTAACATTATACATATATATATATATATATATATATATATATCTTGCTCACGAGAAGTCCGGTCTGACGCACGCGGGTTCTGGCGTTATTTCCTTATCATTTCTCTCGTGTGTTTTGTTGTGAAACGTAGTTTGCGGACCAGACAGAGCTGTCGGCGATTCTTCCTATTGTGAAGTCATGCAGTGTGAACCCCCCTGTAGCCGATCCATCGTGCAGTGTGAACACAGCAGCAGCTGAATGCTACCCCAGATAGTCACGCAGTGTGAAAACAACGGCGATCCGACGAGTTTGAAAATCGTGCACTGTGAACTCGGCATAAATGTCTAAAAAATATCAGTTTTCACTCAAATATGTTTCCTTTTTATTCGAATTTGTGCAATTTGCTTTAATTTCTTAGTTTAAAGCATGCATACTGATTGTGAGGATCATAAATTAAGAAATAATATTTAAAAGACTGCTTCGTCTAAGACCACTGGTGAAATGCTTTATTTATTTAGCTTTTTTAAAAATTAAAAAATCGAATATTTTTAAAATCAGATTTTCTTTTGCCATTTTTCACGTAGTAGCTACAAATTTATTTACATTTAGTGACTTAGAAACAGTGGAAAACCTTTTTTTTTTCTTCTTAACTTTACATAATGTTTGTTTCAAACTCTGAAAACTTCAATTCCAAGTTTAAATACATTTTCAGTGCATTCCTCAGACTTTTCAACTCCCTTGCATATATTAACATTATATTTAAAAAGTACATATGAACTGTGCTGCTGAAAAGTAAGAGCTGAAACTGTTTTAAGTCCTGATTTACAGAGACAAACAGATCTAAAATAGATAGTATGATGATGAAATGTGCAGTAATTTAATTTCACATTCATCTAAATACTTGTTGGATGTGCCTGTTAATTTTAATTTACAGTATAACTTAAAAGAAACAATGTGTAATACATGTTCTTTGGTGGAAGTGTAACTTTTAGTTATCTGCATTACATAAAACAATCATTATACAGTATAAGAGATATCCATTGACTTTGAAAAGTGTGTGATCTCTGAAGTGTCCTGATGGATCGGAGCCCGTAACAGCACAGTGTTCTTCATGAGGAATGTGTCTTTGATCATGAGTTTCTAAATCCCCTCAGCCTCTCGTCTGAAGTGTTTTAACCGCTGAGTGTCCATGTCCATCGGCCTGACCCGGGTTCATGCTGTCAAATCAAAGTTCTCTTTGTTGGCTTTCCACAATGGACTTATTATAACTTTGTATGCTAATCTTCCCATCTTTACAAACAAAGGTTTGTTCATTATCAGGAGCGCATGGTGCCGACAGCTTCCTGCCCACTTCCTTTATGATAATCAGCCATATGGATGAAACTCTTCCCTCAAGTCAGATTAAAGAATTACCATTGCGAAAAATATTTATGCCTAAATTTCAGATTTATGTGTTTGAACTGCGTATACAGTTTCCATTCATTTGGATTATAAAGTTTGAACATAAACAAATAAACATAATGTGATGCATATTTGTCAGTCATGCATTAATGAAACAGGTCAGATTTCTGCACTAAAAAATCATGGCATAGTTTATGCAAGTATATGCATCTATTTAATTAATCTAATTTTCAAAGTGCATTTATTCAAATTGCCTAGAATCAGCATAAATCAATTCATTGTGAAAAAAATTATTCAGTTAAAAAAGTATAAAATATGACTATCTGTGGAACAAGCAATATTCAGTTAGTTAAAATGTATGAAGCTGAAACAAGTTTATTTGATGCTAAATATATTAACCTGCTTAAATCAGAGTATTATTTAATTTCTGAATGGAAGCCCGTTTCTGCCATGCAATAAAAAAAAAAGGGAATTGCAATTTTTCTCATGATTTAGAAATATCCCACAATTCTGAGAAGAGTTCCTCAGAATTGCAAAGGGGAAAAAAGTTGAATTGTGAGTTATGAACTCAGAATTGTGAGATATAAAATCATAATTTATCTTGCAATTCTGAGTTTATAACTCAGAACTTTTTTCTCAGAATTGTGAGATGTTAACTTGCAATTGCAAGATATAAACTCAGGATTATTATTTGGTTTCTGAACTATGAAAGCAACTATGAAAGCCTGTATCTGCCACAGAATAAATAAAAAATTTTTTTTTAAAAAAGGTAATTTTGACTTTTTATCTCACAATTTTGATTTTTTTTTCTCAGAATTGGGAGGTTAACTTGCAGTTGCAAGATATAAACTCACAATTGCAAGATATAAACTCACAATTGCAAGATATAAACTCACAATTCTGAGAAACAGAAAAATTTGCAAAAAAAAGTCAGAACTGAGAGATAAAAAGTTGCAATTACAATTTTATTTTTTTATTCTGGAAACAAAAAGTCAAAATTGTAAGATATAGCCTAAACTTGCAATTGACTTTTATATTTTTATTCCGTGAGAGAGAAAAAAACAAAAACAAGAATGTAAACCCAAAATTGCAAGAAAAAAGCTTTTAATTTTTTTATCCTGTGGTGGAAACACTGAACATGAACCTGTGTTTGCTGAGCTTGTATTTGGTGCTGCTTTAGCGCGTAAGAGAGGCCTTTTGTTCTGCTGCTGTCAGTCATGGCACAATGTGGAGCTCAGAGAGAACTGCTTTGGCACAGACTGCACTTCCAGCCTAACAATTAGTGCAGTGATCGTCTGGAGAGCGTTTCACGTGCCCTGCCACTGCCATCCTCCGCTCCGGTTCACATGAGCCGGGTCTCCAGAGGGTCGAGATGAGAGATCCACACCTACAGCCGTGGACCGAAGCCAGAGACTCAATGACGCAAGTTCAGTCCACTTCCGGCTACATGACTGTTTCCTGACTCAAGGATGTTTAATCAGGTGTCAGGGGATCCACCACAGTAATCAAACACACCGAAACGAGCTAATTAAGGTCTTGGGACGCCAATGTGCACCCTATCCTTCCCAAACAGTGATGATTATGTGAAAGTACAATTAGTGCATCCCATAGTACTTTAAGATTTCATAGTGTGCATCTGTGCATGGTTTTATGGGCTAAAATGACCCACGATACCTTGCACAACTAAAGCAGTTTGTGACCATTTTCTTTCACTTTTTCGAAGAATGAAGTCTGAGGTTATGAATAGTTACACTAGCAGTCAAAAGTTTGGAGTTGGAAAGATTTTTTCTTCTGCTCATCAAGACTGCATTTATTTGATAAAAAAATACAGTCAAAATTGTGAAATATTATTACCATTTAAATGAAGTGTTTTTGATTGCAATATATATTAAAATGCAATTTAAGCTGTATTTTCAGCATCATTACTCCAGTCTTCAGTGTCACATGATCTTCAGAAATCAATATGCTGGTTTACTGAAGTTTGATCAATTACAACCCCAATTTTGGACATTTTGTAAAATGCAATAAAATCAGTAATAAAATCAAAATAAATGCAGCCTTGGAGAGCAGAACAGACTTCTTTCAAAAACATTAAAAAATCTTAATTATTGCAAACTTTTGATCAGTAGTGTATATGCAAACGATGATTAATAGAGGCCCGCGGCATTAAAACTCAATTCATGGTATACGTCCAAATAGTAGCATACTGTCAATAGTGTGTACTTGCTTATCACTAATGAAGTACATACTCTTAGTGCAAAAAACCTTGATAGAAAAAAAAAAATGTAATCTGGTCTCTCAGCTCATATGCATGTGAAGCTTCTTACCCTTGTTTAATAAAGCTAAAAAAAAACACACGTATTACCTGCGATTGCACTGTCCTTGCAGGATCAAGCAGAAAAAGATAAAGGAAATAATCCCTTTAATTCCTTCATTGACTTAATCATCAGGATTACAGTCCGAGCCTTTATCTCCTTCCTCAGTAATGAAGCGTTTTCTACAGTAAAGTCAACTGTAGGTTTATAATCAGATAACAGACTGATCTCAAACTCCTCATACTTTTTACTTCCTCACATGTTCAATAACATCAAGTGTATCAAACTTTAAACGTAATTTTTAAAATATAAGCCTATTTATACCTATATACCTAAAATATATATC